ATGGAAAAAAACCGAGATAAGGAAAAAAAGAGCACAGCCGCACATGCTCCCCCTCAAGTGATCGTCTATGCGAATCTCGAAGATGTCTTATTCTATCTTTTCTTTCGAGGATTTTTATCCTTAAACCCAATTGGTCTTTCTCGTTCCAAGCATGTCTTTGACTCATTTGGCATATTGTAATTTGCCATTTCTTTTGGAATTTTCTACGCGAGCATGGGCATTCACAGCTGCCACATGTGATTTGGTCACCCTTTTTGGTTATTAAATGCATTTGACAATTGATATGCAATATTCTGCAGATGTATGATCTTTTAGACTTCTTGCTCCCTTTGTTTTGTTGGAGGATCAATATATAATAGTCATGATGTTCTATATTCAATATTTCTCTCAATTGATTGTTTCATTCCCACCTAAGGGGGGAAATAGTTCTCCATTAAAATGCAAGGTTCTGAAAACCGAACCGGTCATCGAATCGGTGAAGCTACCGGTTCAATGGTTCATTGGTCGGACAAATGGTTGAACCGGCTTAATATATATTTAAATTAAGAAGATATACAACTAGATTTGTAGTTTAATTTATAAATTATATTTAAAATTTTTTATATTAATTTAAAAATAATTTTTTTTCATACCAATAAATTGCTTTCTTTCTAATTTAATAAATTGGTAATTAGAATTAAAAAGCATGTATTAAGTCTTTTACAGTGCAAAATATTTTAGTGTTAACTAATGGTTATTATCTAACATATAATAAATTGGTTATATAATTTTGTTACCATTGAAAAATTATCCCAATTATTCCCAAGACTTTCAAAATGGATTTTTTATGCATGTTTTAGCCCATAGTTACAGCCTGTTTCAATAATACTATTACTTTTAATGAGTTCTCTTTTGTATGTAAGGCCCAGCTAATAATGACCCAATAATTTCAAAAAGGCATGTGAAATTATCCACATCGGATAAAGAAAGAGAAAACGTCTACTATATAAGTGATTCTACATTCATCTCTTGTCAAAGTTTAAAACTGCAGCGCTGGCTGTCCGAACTGTCACCGGTTCAATCGGTTTTTAACCGGTGAAAACAGTTTGTTGCCAGTTTTTGGTCCCAGCGGTTTTATTGCACAAACCGGACCAGTGTGGTGACCGGTTCCCGGTCGAACCGACTGGTCCTGTTTGGTTTTCAAAACATTGTTAAAATGACAATCATCAACCCGAGCTGTAAAAACAATACCTGTTTTTTGCTCAAGGTATTTGATTATTGATGATGATTCGAATCCAACATAAATACCCAACCTTCTTTGAGGCCCCATTTTTGTACATTGGGGCAGAGCAATTGATACATACATTGCACCACAAAAGACTCTTATATGTGGAATATTTGGTTCTCGGCCTAATACCAACTGTAATGGCGAGTATATATGGTATGAACTCGGTCTTATTCGAACTAGATCATCTGCATGCAGAATAACATGTCCCCATACTGAAGTGGGAAGTTTTGTTCTCATTATTAATGGTCTAGCTATAAGCTGCATCCGTTTAATTAATGATTTAGCTAAACCATTTTGAGTGCGAACATGTGCCACAGGATGCTCAATATAAATGTCAACGACCATACAATAATCATTAAATGCTTGAGATGTAAATTCACCAGCATTGTCAAGTCTGACCCGTTTGATATTATAATCTGGGAATTGAGCCTTTAATTTTATAAGTTGGACAAGTAATTTAGCAAATGTCACATTTCGAGTAGATAACAAACTCACATGAAACAATTTACTAGAGGCATCAATCAACACCATAAAATATCTGAATGGACCGCAAGGTGGATGAATAGGTCCACATATATCACTATGGATCCTTTCTAAAAACAATGGTGATTCATTTCCGACCTTAGTTTGTGATGGTCTCACTATCAATTTTCCTTTAGAGCATGAGACACATGACAATTCATGTGACTGAAATATCCTCTGATTTTTTAATGGATGACCATTAGATTTTCAATAATTCTTCTCATCATTATCGAGCCAGGGTGACCAAGTTGATCATGGCAAAGTTTAAACATTCCAATTGACTTTGTTAACTGGTGAGAGGTGAAATTCTTTCGAGTGAGGGAGAGACTTGATTCCATTAGGTGAGGGAGGAGATTCCGTCGAGGATGGGGGTTTGTTAATTGGTGGAGTAGGGTTCATTGGGATAGGGATTTTAACAAGTCGCTCAATTAGGGTTTGCGAAGAGTTATCATAATGAGAGATAAAGCCGACATAGTAGAACATGAGGAAGATATGGCCAATCGACTTAGAAATTTCTCTTTATTTGGGGAGGAAAGTACAGTGATTGACATTGGCAATGATGATATACGAGCCAGTGTAGAAGAATGCAAGCGCAATCTGGTGGGAAAGGTCTTGGGGAATAGGCGTGCGTCTTTGGTTGGACTGAAAAGAACGATGGCTAGAATTTGGAGGACTCAACAGAGAATGGAGGTTCGTGAAGTAAGTTTCAATTATTTTTAGTTTATTTTTTAGAAAATCGAAGCGATATGAAGAAGGTCTTGCTAGGAACAAATTGGATCTTTGAAAATCAATACTTAGTCATACAAGAATGGAGAAAGGGAATAAGAGCGTCAGATAGCTGTTTTGACGAGATCAACCTGTGGGTTCAGGTGTTTAATGTACCATTGGAGTGGCTGAGTATGAAGGTTGGGCTGAAGGTAAGAAAGGTGTTCAAGAGGGTGAAAAATGTGGGAATTACAAATGCAGTAGGAGCAGGAGGTCGTATTTTCAGGTTGTTGGTTGCAGTTGACATCAACAAAGCTCTACCTCGATGCACTACTCTCAGAATGGGGGATCAATTAACTGCAGTGAGCTTCAGATACGAGAGGCTGGTCAATCTGTGTTATTGTGGGTTCATAAGTCACCTGGACAGAGATTGGCAGAGCAAAGAACAGGATATAGCTAATGGTGAGATCAAAGTTGGGCAATATGGGGATTGGCTTAAGGCAGGGGAAATAAAAACATTTAGTAACTCAGGGCAGACCAGCCAATCTTTTGAGAAGGGACAAGAAAAAACAGATGAGCAGGGACAGAATCAGGAGCCTCGGCATAAAGAGGCAAACATAGCTTATGGCCTGATTATAGGCAGAGATGTGGAGACGAGCCCATGACCTATCCACAACTATAAAAATCTAAGTTTGGTGGAGTCTAGTTCATCAAGAAGAGATATGGATAGCCCTCAAGAAGTATCAATGAACAGGGAGTCAAGGCTTGGGCAACAAATTTCAGACTTACCAGCATTGGGGGAGAAGAAATTCTTATCAACAGAAGACATGCCTTTTGAGGATATTGATAAGCATAAATCACTGATGGTGAGTACTGAAGAGTTAAAGCACTTCCAGTGGAAGGTTCAACCACCAAACAGAAAACATGGAGAAGAATTGGGACTAAGGAAGGCATGCTCCTTAGAAATAAGAGGATGGCAAGGGACTACAGTTACAAGGAATGAAAATAGGGAGGCAAGGAGGCACCACATTGATTACAGTGGAAGACGAGGCAATAGAGGAAGAAGCAGAACATAAAGAGTCAAGAGAAGTCCAATGAAGGTGGAGAAGGCCAGCCTCAAATGGCCCCAGTGTGATCAATGAGAGCTGTGGTGTGGAATTGTTAGAGGCCTGGGTTGGGCCTCTACAATTTCCTAACTCAAGGAATCCCTGAGGACCACCACCCAAATTTTGTTTTCTTGTCTGAAACTAAGAATACTAATATGTTTACTATGACAGTGTGTGAAAACTTGGGGTTTGCTGATAGAAGTAGGTTGGTTGCTTCAAGGGGGTTAAGTGGAGGACTTTTGTTGGCTTGGAACAATGAAGTGGAGATCAGAAGCATGATGAGTGAGCAATATAGTATTGAAGTGGAGTTCAAAATTCAGAGTAATGAGAATTTTAGATGGGTAGTGTTTGTATATATGAGTACAAACAGAAATACAAGAGAGAGCCAGTGGAGGGAGCTGGAGGAGAAGAAGAGCAGATAGGGAGATACTTGATGTGTTATTGGAGACTGGAATGATATTGCCAAATTAGAGGATAAAAAGGGGGGGAGACAAAGGACACAAGCAAGTTTACAGGGTTTTCAAAACTTCATTGCAAATATGGGGATGGAAGAAGTGCTGAGGAAAGGCTACCCATTTACATGGGGCTACCCATTTACATGTGGAGGAAGCACTGGACAAAACCTATGCTTCTCTGGGATGGCTAAGGGTTTACCCCCAAACTCAAATTTTTTCTGTTTTCAAAAGCTCTCCAGACCATTATCTGTTAGTTTTCGAGGAAGAACCCAACTGTCAACATTTGAAGAGGAGATTCCAGTTTGATAGGAGGTGGCTAGTTTTGTCATCAGTTGTACCTTACTTTGATATATTATAAAATTTCTATATTTTTTTGAAAACAATTGTTGGAACGTCACTATTATATAAATTCATTAGTTTAGAAAAAGAAAAATATTTAGGGCACTATGCTTGTGCTTGGCTTAGGGTCTTATAATGTGAAGGACCAACTCTGATTTTAAATATGTAGTACACGGTATTGTACTAGTACATATATATAACTTAATAATAATTTAGAGTGAATACTAGTATCATTATATTGCTAATCTAGTAATGCTACCGACATTACTGTTGTATCAATCATACCATCGATGGACATATTGTGGAATTTAAGTTGTGTTTGGAACGCATGCTTATAACTTATTTGATTAGCTTGTAAGTTTTCTATATTCAAATAAGCTGGGTTATGTAGGACGAAGTTGTTTAAAAAACACGGACTTATTTCATAAGCTTTCTTATTTGATTTTATCAGCTAATTTTACCAAATACTTTTATTATATAAATTAACTTTTTAACAAATGATAAAAAGTTATCTCTGCTGGNAAAAAAAAAAAACCAAATGATAAACTATCAAATATAAACTCAAAATTTATTTAAATATACGTTAAACTTATTAGTTAAGTTTATCAAGCCTTAAAACACTGCCCTAACCCAATGAGTACAGTTTACTCGAGAAAAACAAGTATTCATCCTTCGTAAAGAAAGAACTTCAAAATTATTCAAGACTAGCAAATGGAATGCCAGGGAGAAGATGAAGAAATTGTTTGCCTGGATGAATCTTTCTTCATCAACGACAAGTATTCTTTTTCTGCCTTTCTCATTCTTAAACGTACAAACTTTCGTGTTCTTGTGACTGTGTTTGATTTTTTTTTTATGCCCCCTTCATCTCCAGCTACCAATTGACGAGGTTTACATTTGGTTCGCACGTTCTTGAACTTTATTGTCTCCAGTCTGCATCAAGTGAGACACCCCATTTTCTCGCTTCTGAATGTTTGTTACGATCTTTAACTGTTTGATTTATGTTCAGTGCAATTTTTCATACCTACATTGCTTGAAACTTATGCCAATGGTATGCTGTTGGATGATAATAGATGTGTGGAGGCTGTAAAGTGGTGAAAGATTTAGGAGTCCACGCAATTACTAAAAAAATGTGGTCCCAGCTTTTAGGTCAAAGAAAAAAGTATTTATAGTGTTTGCAGATGGCGGCTTATGCTTTTGTTGATGCATAATTTGATATTGCTACAAGTTCAGATCGTGGTTCTATTGAAGCAGTTAAAAAAAAAAAAATCAGCAGTTTTATGGTTTGTTCACATAAGGGCTTCCCTTTCAACTTTTTGCTTCTATTTTGGAACGCGAACAGCTTTTGCTTCTTGACTGTTATTGCCTTCTCTGCAATAAATCACTTCTTCGGAATGTAGAGAGTTTGGCAAAGTGTTTGAATTGTAAGGACAATCTTAGTTAAAAAGTAGTTAAAAAGCTCAAAGTGTTTGAATTGTAAGGACAATCTTAATTTGAATGGTAAAGTAGTTATTTGTCCAAAGGAAGATGCCGTTAGTGTCCATTTTTGTAGTCTGGACTCAAAGCTGAGAGCCTGAGATTATCCTGATTCTTGTGTAGTTGTTGCAACTTTGACTTGTATGGTTGATTTGAAATTTACCTTTAGTTCATAGTGAATTTACTAGAGAGGATCATGTAAAATTGGAGACTTCTTTTACTTGTGATTTTACAACTGTGTGAGTTATATTGCAATGAGGGTACTGACTATCTGTATGGCAGCTGATTTTGATTTGACGGGGCAGTTGGTATGGCCTGGAGCTGAGCTTTTGAATGATTTTCTTTCTAAAAATGCCGATATGCTTCGTGGCTGTTCAGTTATCGAGCTTGGCTCCGGTGTTGGTTAGTCTGTTACTGTGTTAGTCTTGTCCTTCTATTGTAATTTATTTTCAAGGGATAAAGATAATGACAAAAATAATCAAATATAGGAAATTTGCTTTAAAACCCACCTAATTTTCGGAAATTGCATGTCTTACATTTTTCTTCATCCATTAATTGAACTAGCAGAAATTGTTGACATATCATGATTCAAGCCTGCTTTTTCTAGTTTTCAAAGTTAGCCCTCTGTTTTGATTTTAGTCTTTTGTTATTATTACAATTATCATTTCATGTTTTTTTTTTCTTTTTTTCAAGTTTTCAGAGATTTGTTTAAGTCTGCAAAAATATAGCATAAAAACTAAAAAGTGCTACTAGTATCCCATGGATAATTTATGATTGCTAAAATCACCATATGCAGGCATAACTGGGATACTGTGTAGCAGATTTTGTGAGAAAGTAGTAATGACAGACCATAATGAGGAGGTTCTTAAGGCAAGGTTATGAGGATTTTCATTTATTGCTTGTATATCTTGAGAGTTGAGTTAATATATTTTATTTGTTAACATGCTTATTTTCGTGCTCATTCTCAGATCCTAAAGAGGAATATAGAACTGCATGATACTTCGCAAAATCTTGTTTGTTCTGCTGGTAAGTAAAGAATTCAAGGTTTAATTCGAAAAGTTAGCAAGCCTGTATTTTATCTCCTCTGTTGATTACAGAATTGAAAGCTGAGAAGCTAGAATGGGGGAACTCTGAGCAACTTGACTACATCTTGCAAAGGCATCCAAAAGGATTTGATCTTGTTCTTGGAGCTGATATCTATATCCTAATTTTACTGTTTATGTAATATGTATTACATGCAGCCTACTCATGTTTAGAAATTGTTCTAATTAATATTGTTATTACAATTACCTGATAATTGTTGTGTAAAACCAATACATCTCATAAAGAAGAAATCTGTCGGCCAAGTAGATGATAGTTTTGTCTTCAATTTTATAATGAAAGTGATTAATCATCTTATTTTTAGAAATTGTTCTTTATAATTACCTGATAATTATTATGTGAAACCGAGACATCTCTTGAAGAATAATCTGTTGGCTTAGTAGATGTCAAATTTATCTTCAATTTGATATAAAAAGTGATAAATCATCTTGTTTCCCTTTTTCTTTTGTCCCCTCTCTTTTCTCCCTCATGTAGCCAAGTTTTTTCTTTTCTACAGTGTAGAATAAGTCAGAACAAAGTATTATAAAGTGCCATTTTTGTTTGTTTATCACGTTGTTTTTATAGCTGATGTTAATGAATCGTGTCAATACATAAACAGAGAAAGTAGAGAGAAATATCCCTTAACCGTATTTCAAGCTTTCAGCAGTCAAGTGTTCCTTGGCTCTTTGACTCTGTGAAGAAGCTCATCCAATTCAGCCGTGGAAGAAATTGTCGCTTCATATTGGCTTATGTTTCCAGGGCAAAAGTGTAATTTTTCTCATTACATGAATCTCAATGTTTTTTTTTTTTTTCAATATTATTATAGTTACATGAACTGGTTCACAACATTTTCAGAGAATTACACTCAGAACTCGTTGTGTGGCCAAACATGTAATTTGCTTTCATATTTGCAGAATGGATAATATGGTCATAAATGAAGCTACTCGGCTTGGATTGCGGGTTAGTGAAGTTGCTGGAACTCGAGCTACTGTTCGAAATCTTGAAGGATGTATTTATGAGATTACCTGTGGATGAAAAACTGTTGGTGAGCATACTCAAATTTCTACAGTTGTTAAAACAAGGATAATTATAATCGAGATCTATCTTAGTGAGGCCGCTTATCGGCCCTCAGTTAATAGTCCTAAGCTAATTACCAAATCAGCTTGAGATTCTCCATATTGTTGAAATGTGTTGTTTCAAGACATTCATAAATTTATGTCGAATTTTGCCGCACATTTTTGTCACTTTTGCTTTTCTTGATAATGGGGGACTTGCGGCCACTGCACTTCAAGATTAACTCTTGAATTTCACATAATAGCTTACAAACAACATCCAAAAACTTAACCCAGGTTAGGGATTTGAGTGTGAAATTTTATACCTCAAGAAAATACAATATTCTACTAGGTCATCTCATTTACTTTATTTTTTCTCAGTTATATTTGTCAGTGTAACAGTGTTGCATCGACGGAAAAAATAAAGAAAATATCTATGTATGTATATGTATTTATCTATTTGTACTATTATAGAAAAGAATAATTTTGTAAATAATTGCACGGATTAACATATCCTTGTATTTGTAATATTAGTAATGGTAGAATTGTACTTGAAAAAATAAGTCTAATGTAAAAACAAATAATTAAATATGAAAAGGGCTCTAATTGTTTAAGCAAATCTAGTTGCGTCTAGACAACAACCTTGTCAATATTCACCCGTTCTTCTAAGGACTTGGAAGTCGACATCAGTACAGAACATTTTATATTAGTTCTCCATCGGATCAATTACAAAATACAAAATTGGGGATGTTAATTATGTAAAATGTATTCTTGTATTGTATTGTAGGTTAGGTTTAGGCCCAACTTAAGGTTAAGGCCTATTTATGTTTTTATATATAGGTGTACATGTCTTTGTGAATAACATCAGATATTTTTTCCACATTCTTACATGATATTAGACTAGGGTTATAGTCAGTTGTAGGTTTGGCTTCGCTCGTTTCCATCCACTACTGGTTCTCACCGTCCGTTTCCATCCAGAGCCGGTCCTTAGTAATTTTAGGCCCTGGGCAAAGGTGGAAATAATGCCCTTAACTCCCCTGATCATTTTTTAAAGGTCAACTTCATTATTAACAATTAAATAACTAATTTATGAAAGACAATAATATATATATATATATATATGTATATATATATATCAAGAGAGAAATTAAATGCTATAAAGGGAAAAAAATTTGGCAACTACATGTTGAGGCCTATTTTATTATTCTTTAGTGGTGGATAGGAGCGCTTGGAGGCTCGCTATCAACGTGCCAGAACTGTGACTTTTGCTCCTTTTTCTCTCTCTCTCTCTTTTTTTTTCCAATCTCTTCCTTTCGGTTCGAGTCTTTTGTGTTTCTCTTGGGTTTCATCTCTAGCCTACCCCGACTTGCTTGGGACTAAAGACTATGTTGTTGTTGTTGTAATTAGAATTATTCTATATATAAATTACCCTCCATATATAATTTCCGAACGTGCTGAGCCTAAATAGTAGGCCCGCACGTCTCGAAATCCTATGTGGCCAATTTTTATGCTTTTAGATTTGACTTTGATAGATTTTAATTACTTGCAATCTAAAAATAATTAGTCATGTAATAACCATAAATATATTGAATATTTATGATTCTTTTTAGAAGCATTAATTATTTTTTAATATCATTTCATATTCTAGAAGTAATTTATAAGGTATAATTTTTTTCTTCAAACTTTCTCTTTTCCATAGCCTTTCTTTTAAAATTACAAAAAATTTACTAACTTTAAATTACAAGTATAGTTTAATAGATAATAGTTATTTAATTTATTATAATTATTCATATACAATATATCAAATTAACCATCTCTTGATTATTTTACTTTATATATATATATATATATATATTGTACGTATAAAATAAATAAATAATTACATTTATCTTCATAAGAAGATAAAATTATTTATTAGTATTAATTGGAAAAAATAAATTACTAATGCATAAAATAGACAATAGTTGAACGAAACAATTTAGCACTATAGGTTAATGAACATACACATGTTGGATGCTAACATAATTTAGCAAGTTCTGTTTTCATCTTTTGAGCATATGCATTGTTCCAATAATTATAAGTAATTAATGGATGATGAAAAAATTAGAAACAAATTTTTTATTATTTTTTAATTATAAATATAAATTTTATAACAATCACCCATGTAGTATATGGGTATTGTACAAGTAAATTATTATCCGTGAATATACTTGGAAATCAAGATATATTTTATCTAATTTCTCAAACTCTATAAACAGCACTCAAGTGTCCTTCATTTGCACCGGGCATAAAATTAATTTAGCTTAAGTAATTTTATATAAATGCTCACTATAAATCATTTATGTTAAGCTCATAATTTTTTGTGCATTAATTTTGTAGATACTCAAGTTCGGCTGGAATGTATGAAAGCTTTAACAGGGCTTTTGCTTAAAGAAAAAACTGTATTGATAAGTGATTTGTAGTCATCAAAAGCAATTTTAAACTTGGGCCAAATTACATTTAAACATGAATATAGGCCAGGCTTGGTGCCTACAGTTAATGGGGGCATTGCAAATTTCAATCATTATTCATAGGACCACTCCCCAAACCCACACCCCCTACTAAGACAATCCCAAGAAATACCTAAAAAATGGTCATAGACCAAATCATTATTCAATACATTACTAAATCACCAAAATGGTGAATTTACGCACGAATCTCAAGGTAAGTAATGTCAATAAGTGAGTTTTGAAAAGATACAATAACTAAAAATCATTTCATCACTGGTTCAGCATCAAGAGAAAAATTCCAGTCACTAACTTGCTCCTCTTTGCACATAATATCTAAACTCTGATATATCTCAAGAGAAAGAGGCGAGAATTTATAGGGAAACAGAGGAGCAAACAACTCAAGGCACATAAGCTTGATTATGTTATTCAAGAACACGATTTCTGACTCGGTCATCCGGGCCGGGGCCCGCCCTCGCTATTATTTTAGATTGATCCTCGTGATTCATTTCGGCGGGCCCCACAAAAAAAGTGCCCAATTTATTTAAAGTTTAGACAAGTGAAAAAGGAATTCTCCTCCACTCCACCTACCATTTGCAATTAGAAATTAGAAACGTGTTCCAGTGTCGTTGGGCCGGCGACCATGAGCGAGTGCGAGAGTGCCACGGCGGCAAAATTGCCGGCACACGTTCTGATATTTCCGATGCCACTGCAGGGTCACGTGAACTCTATGCTGAACCTGGCTGAGATCCTCTGCATCTCGGGCCTCCACGTCACCTTCCTCCTATACGACCACATCCACGCCCGCCTTCTCCGCCACGCCGACTTCCGATCCCGCTTCTCCGCCTACCCCGGCTTCCGGGTGGCCACCATCTCCGACGGCCTCTCGCCGGACTACCCACGCACCGGAGACCGCATCTTCGACACCATCCGGAGCTTCCGAGAGGTCGGCGAGTCGGTGTTCCGCCGCCTCATGGAGTCGACTGACGCGCTGAGCCAAGGCGGAGACAGGCGGCGCGTGAGCTGCATCATACTTGATGGCGCGTCGACTTTCGTTAATCCGGTGGCTGACGAATTGAGGATTCCTCACATCGTTTTCAGGACCGTCAGCGCGTGTTCATTTTGGTCGTATTTCAATGTTGAAGCCATAATTGAGGCCGGTGAGCTCCCTTTGAGAGGTAAAAGCTTGTAATCTCTAATCATTGCTATTTCCCTATTTCTGGCCTGATCTATAATGTAAGATAATTAGAGAATTCTGTGGAAAACTTCTAGAGCCTATTCTCAATCAATTAAACTATATCGTTTTGGTATTGAAGTACTAAAATTTTAAATAATGTTAATTACATTTGAGTGCTGGTAGCAAGTACTAAAGTTGTTAATCGTGTTTATTTTAGATCCCTTCTTAATTGTAGCCTCATAAATCATAATATATGAATAAATGATTTATTTATGTACATGTTGAATTTTACCGCCACCGACGAGATCTATCTATTCATCTCAATGGATTTTGATTGTATTGAGTTTGTAATTTTAATTGTTGTTTTCTCCACGAGTAAGAGCAAGTTAGATTTCTATGACCTCGTGGCATTATATTAATTAATTTATGATGAGATAATGAAATAAGGTATGATATATATCCTCCATTGGCATTATCCCCTACCTATTAATTTAAAAAGTGCCCTAAGTGGCAAGTTGGCATATTTCGGGATCCTGTGGTAAAATTACATATTTCGTTATTTGATTTGGGTAGATTTTAATTTATTTCCAATCCAAAAATAATTAAGTCCGGATTATCCATAAATATTACATGTATTAATTACATTTTAATATCATTCTTATTATAACCATTAAATTGTAAATTCATTTAAAAAGTTAATAACTTTGTATTTTTTATCAGTTTTACATATATAATCTATCAAATTAATCATTTATTAATGAACTTCGATTTAACATCCATATTGTATGTATAAAAAAATAAATTATATTTATCTTTATAACAATAATAAAATTATTTTTTAATATGAATTAGAAAAATAAAATTATTTATAATTAATATATTTCTATTTCAAGTAGTTATATTATATAAGTTACAAAAATTACTATAATACAACACATGTAAGTCGCACAAGTAACAAGTGTCATTCTAAAATATATAAATATATATATATATATATACACATATATATATATATTTTATAAAAAACTAAATAAAATTTTTAAAAAAATTCTCATTAATTTTAAAATTTAAGAATAATTTTGTAACAAGCACCCGTGTAATACACGAATGTTGTACTGGTATTAGTTTATAATGAATGAGTGCCATTTACATATATCGGTAGTGCTGTGGAGCGAACATAACACTTATACATAATACCAAAAAAATACTATATTTTTTAAATAGATAAAAAAATACAATTAACAACTATTTGATAATAATAATAACAATAGTGAAAAAGTAAAAGAACTTATGCTTTTAAATTTTAATTTTTTTTAAAAAAAATACTACAAAAAACTTGTAATATTAATTCAAATTATATAAAACTTCTTTGTTGCATAGAGTATCATCGATTACGTAAAATTACTTCAAATTATTTAAAATTCTTTGAATTCATTTCGTTAAACATCACAATTCTTTCAACTAAACCATAAAATTCAGTATTAGGTGATCCTTGAAACGAAACATGAATTAAAATGGTGACTGTTGCATTAATTTTGTTTGTTCAGGCAAGGATGAAGAAAAATTATCCTATTTAAAACGAAAAGATATGGACTTTAGCGTGACAAGCGTCCCAGGCATGGAGGGCATTCTCCGCCGTCGTGATCTCCCATCATTTTGCAGAGTAGAAGAAGTGAATGACCCTTTACTCAACACAATGTCACTCGAAACTAAAAGAACTACCGAGTCCTCGGGATTAATACTCAATACATTCGAGGACTTGGAAGGCCCAATTCTCCATCAAATCCGTAAATGCTTCCCCAATTTGTATAGCATTGGGCCCCTCCACGCGCTTCTCGAAGCCCATTTAGGTTTTTCGGTTGAACGTTCAAGCAGCTTGTGGGAGGAGGATCGCGGGTGTTTGGCTTGGCTCGACTCTCAGCCCCCAAAATCGGTCATCTACGTTAGTTTTGGAAGCATCACAATGTTGACTAGGGATGAGTTGGTAGAGTTTTTGCATGGATTGGTGAATAGTGAGAAGAGGTTCTTGTGGGTGGTAAGGCCCGATTCTGTTGTCGAGGGAAATAATAATAATAATAATAATAATAATAATAATAATAATAATAATAATAATAATAATAATAATAATAATAATGTTGAGATGATGATGCGGGAGATCGAGGAAGGAAGCCAATCAGAATCAAGGGGGCGAATCGTGCGGTGGGCCCCACAACGGGAGATTTTAGCCCATCCGGCAATTGGGGCCTTTTTCACGCACTGTGGGTGGAATTCGACTCTGGAAGGAATTGTGGTGGGGTTGCCAATGGTGTGCTGGCCGTATTTTGCGGACCAGACGACGAATAGTAGGTTTGTGAGCGAGGTGTGGAAGATAGGATTGGACATGAAAGATAGTTGTGATAGAAGTGAAGTGGAGAGGATGGTTAGAGATGTTATGGATGTGAGGCGGGATGAATTCGTCGACAAGGCTCGTGGATTGTCGGTTTTGGCGAGGAAGGCTGTTTCGGAAGGGGGATCGTCGTGTATGGATTTGGCGAGGTTGATTGAGTTTATCAAGTCCACAGTTTCATGACATCGTTTTCTTCATTATACTCATGCATATGGATGAATTGTACTTGTAGTTTATGGTAATCTCATTTCATCGATGCATATGTAAGCATATCTACTAGAACACAAACCCGATGTTCCTTTTTCGGTTTTATNAACTAGTAATGTGTTGTCAGTAATATAAATAAGTAATATGAATAAATAAGATAATATATTTATTCGATACTTTTTATTTATTTACTTATTTGTTTTGTCATTTCATACTTAGATAATTTAAGGCTGGTATTTAGCTCGTGCGATGCAAAGTTCATTGATAAATCGTATAAATTTAAACAGTGAATGATTACCGATTAGTATAAAATAATTTTGAATATTTATTTTGAAGTTTATCTTATTTTCTTTTCGTTTACCATATAATATCCAGTAATCCAGTTATTATTTTATTCTAAAGTTCATTGTCACATATTGTAATTACATTATTTATAAAAGGTATAGAAGTAGTCTCCTTTTTGTATGTAATGATAAATATTTAATATATGTTATTATTATTTATTAGAATAATTAATTTAAAATTACCAAAAAAAGTGTTGAGTATAAAATGTTCTACCATTTATACACAAGTGTAATTTTGTTCAATTTTAGGTATTTATCCTATTTCATAATAATTAAAAATTTGTAAAAAAACATGACATCAATAATAATTTGTTAAAAACTAATATAGAATTTTTTGTATCACATTGAGAAAGATAACACATTCTGGGTTCTTTATGTTAATTAACCAAATAATTCAATCGATCATCCTACAATTTTTTATATTTTTTTTTGGCTATATTATGTATTGGAATTTTAATTGTTCATAACAATTAAACACCTTTTTTTGAGCAATTTCTATGAAATAAATCTCATATATAATCATGAGATTTTGTAATTGTTTCCTACTATTTTATAGTTTATTTGTCATACTATGTAATAGAAATGTAATTTATCATGATTTCATTATGAAAAAAATAAAAATAAAAAAAATATTGAAAAAAAAATCCTCGTTTAGTATTAAATATTTTGGCGAGAATTTTATTGAATATATTTTAGTAAAGGCCTTTTATATATATATGCTAGTACATAGTCGTTACGATGCATGAGATAATGACAAATCGTATAAATCAAATCAATGAAAGAATATTGATTAGTATAAAAATACTCTTGAATATTAATATTTATTTATTATTTATTTTTTATGATATATAATAATTTAATATATGATTTATGAATTTATGTCACATGTTTATAAAATAGTTGTTATTTTAGATTTCATGTTTAGAATGAAAGAGCATGAAAATTTAACACATTCAAACATTATCAATAAAATAATAATCACAAAAATACTTCTCTCTCTCTCTCTCTCATCACAATATATTATTTTACTTCCGAAATAAGTTTAAAAACTATAGTTAATATTAAAAATTGACACNGTATTATGATTATTTTATATATGATTATTTTATAATTTATAGTAATGTATATTGTAAATATTTTTATTTTTCTTTCTAATCAAAGTTCATGTGAAAAATGGAAACCGATTGATTTTTATCATTAGAATTTATTATTTATATATTATAATATTTTAATTTTCGTCTAAGCAACAATTTACACGTTCGACAACTCATTGGTTTGTCATTATGAAAATCTCCAACTATATATATTATGAAAATCTTAATTTTTTCATTCGAAAATCTCTAACTATATATATTATAAAAATCTCTAACTCATTTGTTATAATAGCTAACTAGTACAAATCTCGTGCGATGCACGGGTAAGATATATGTTTTAATATTTATAAATTATAAATATTTATTAAATAATATTTATAAATTATAAATATAGAATCGATATGTAATATAATTTACATATATTAATTTATTGAAAATGTTATATAAAATTTAAATTGTGAAAAATTACATAAAACATGTCTATTTATAATTAATATACAACCGTACGGTGCACGTAACTGATAATAAATTATATTACATTCATTTAAAAATAACTGTCATTTTAAAACTTTTATTCAGAAATTTGATTTGACTACAATGTAATTCCATAAAATAAATATTTTTGTAAAAATTTATCATATATTTAAAAATCTATGTAAATATTAAGTATAATTATAAAACTTATATTGTTTTATTAATTAAAATAAATTTATTTTTGTATAAACTATCCACATAAGAAATTATGTAGTTAAGTAATTTATTAAACCATTTTTGCTGAAAGAAAGGAGCATGAAACCCAATGAACGAAGCGAAGCGAAGGACTATGAGTAATTGACTATTCCATTTACGTCTAAGTTAATATTGACTCGTGAGTTATAAATAATTAGTTATTTGACTTTTCAATTTGAACCCAAATTTGGACTACACAATAAATTCCTTTATACCTTATATATATATAGGGTCGCGCTCCCATGAGAAAAGTGCTTAGTGAAAGAAATGAGAATGAATCGTAGCCATTAGATCGGATGATCTCATTGTTTTGAGTATTTTTGTTACGTTTTTCGTTACTGTTTTGTCGTTCTTTTTCCCCCGTTTTAGGTCTTTTTGTTAGTTTTTAATTCGTTTTGTAGTTTATTATGTGTTTTGCTCTATTTTGGTTTTTCATGTGTTTTTTGTATATTTTGTCGGTGTTATACGTTTTTTTTCTTGTTTTTGGTGTGCAGGTTAGAAGCCCCGTTAGGAATAGATGTAGCCCGAAAATTGACCGAGCAACCATGGTTGTGTAGACGGGTTCGTTGGCAACATAGAGGAAGAAGCGGAGCTCAATTTCGAGCTTGGATGAGTCCAAACGGACCCAAATTGCGAAGTCGCGCGAAGTACGACTTTAGTGTGCTGGTCATGAGCTTTGGGAGAATTGTTTTTCAAGAATAATTTGTCCATGCAAGCATCATTAAATAGAGGGGTTCGTTAGCGACGCGTAGGAAAACACGGAACTCAATTCCGAGTTCGGACGAGCCCAAACGAGCCTAAAACGCAAAGTCGCGCAGCCCAGTCCTCCTTAGCGGCGCTAGGAAATCTTAACGGGGCCAGAGAGTTTGTAGTGAAATGGTTAGCGGCTTCTAAGGGGAGTTAGCGGCCGCTAACCCTGTCTGGCAGACAATGTATTTTTTTTCTTAATTTCTGCTCATTTTGGGGAGAAGTGGGAGACATTGTGGCATGATTCTTAGAGAAGACATTCACCTGGAAAATGGGTCTTGGAGACCTTAAGAAGACTCTCTCCCTCATTCTTTAGCTCACCAAAGGGGGTTCTCCCCTCTTCTCCTTCTCCATTTTCTTTCTCTCATTCTTCCTCTCCTCTATTCACTTTTCTTTAGTTTTTCTTAAGTTTTCTTTGGTTCTTCAACTGTGGAGAAGAACATTTTCAAGACTTGAACATTGTGGATTTAGTTTGTACTTGCATTTGACATTAGATTGTACATTATTAGTAAGTTTTCTTCTTTTCATTGTGTTTATGGTGTTGAGAATAGCTTGTTTTGATGTGAATTCTTGTGTTCCAATTGCAATGTGTGGCTAATTCCAATTGCTAGGGCTAGGGGATAGTTGTTCTAATTCGTTCTCGTTTACGTGCATGACGATAGCTCAATCTATGCGAGTTGTTTTAATTTGATTTTGATAAATTCATACTTGATAATCGATATAACCTAAGAGTGACACTTAGGAAAATTTATTGATATAATCGAAGAGTGATACTTCGATTTTGCACGATTGATTTATAAAATGTGACTTAATCATGATCATTCATATGATAAATTCAATGGTGTAGATTCATTCTTATTTCTTTCACTATCTACCATTCTCATGTGATTCTAACTCTATATATATATAGAGAGAGAGAACGGTTCCAATGCATCCACTTATTTAAAGTGAGGACGTAAGACTCATTTTTAGCCACAAGATTTGGTACATATCATGTGTGGCCAAGATTTACTCTTTTCTTTTTATTATTTTAATTATTTAAATATTATTTTGACTCGTTGACTCTGGCGTTGACCGTTGACTTCCGACGTTGGCTTCCGGCAAAATCCGTTGACTTCTGGCGTTGACCGTTGACAACTAACCTTCCAACTAGGTTAGTTCTCTGTAGATGCTAGGTTAGTTCTCTGTAGTTGCTAGGTTATTTTTCTGATGTTGCTAGGTTAGTTGTCTGTAGTTGCTAGGTTAGTTGTCTTTTGTTGCTAGGTTATTTCTTTCATGCTGCTAAGTTAGCTGTCTTTTGTTGCTAGGTTAGTTATCTTTAGCTGCTAGGTTAGTTGTGTTTTGTTGCTAGGTTAGTTGTCTATTGTTGCTAGGTTAGTTATTTGTATCTGCTAAGTTAGTTGAGTTTTGTTGTTAGGTTAGTTGTCTTAGTTGCTAGGTTTATTTTTTCTTGCTGCTAGGTTAGTTGTCTTTTGTTGCTAGGCTAGTTATCTGTAGCTGCTAGGTTTTTTTTTTTTTTTTTTTTTAAA